ATGTGATATCTTCGCGAGCAAGCTTAGAAACATCAACCTTAGGTCTTAACCCAAACAATAGCATAACCATATAAAGTTTATCATACACACACAAAAGGTTCTTGTAGACTACTACAGATGTTTAAGATGTGAAATACCTACCTTAAGCATAACCAACCCCCGATCCTCGATCTCTTAACGTTGTTGTTACATCGCGTAAAAGGTCATTCTTTATTTAACCTTTCCTTTGGAAAAATCAAAATCCGATTGTGAATTTAATGAATTAATATTCAAGTTAGTCAATAGCTTGACATCACGATTCTCACCGCAACAAGTTGCTCACCGGAGTTTGGCATTTTGCAAACTTAGGTTACAAAACCATCGCCATTGTGAATATTTCGTCAGTGCAAACTCAACCTCATGCTTCATTTCCATTGATTGAAAGTGATAAGAGAGAATTTGAAGGAAACTCAGTGAAAAATGAAAACACAAACAGACAAATTAAATGTTTAATATGAACAATCAACACAAGGTAAGTTAGGGGAAACAATCAGGAAGCATCAAGCTACATTGTGGTAACTTGTTTAAGCCCAAATATGCTTAGACCTTGTCTAAATGGTGATCGGAGGTGTTGAAAGATAGACCTGGTTAGAGCATTTCAGTGAGTCTTAAAGCTTTGTATTTATTGCAAAAGCTTTAGAGGAGATCGAAAGAACTAATGGAATCAAGAAACAAGGTTGAAAGAGCTTAGAGTTCAGAAACAAAATCTTAAATTTTCAGTATAAAGTGGGAGTTCGAGCAGAGGTTATGAGGGATTTCTAAGCTTGGTTTTCATTGTAAACTCTTCCTCTATTTATAACTAAGGTGAATCAATGGAATACGTGTGAGAATTAGTTGTATTTCCTGTGAATTAAGTGTGATCTTTCTTGCTTGTAAAGTCAGCCAAAATGCAGTGAAATCCTTCTAATTTTGGGTTGTTTTTGATCCTCGGATATTAATTAACATTATCATAGACAAAACACATGCAAATTTTGTCTTAAAATTGAGAATTGAATGGATTGCTATTTCTGACCATGAGCAAATTTCAGTTCCATGAAGCCATGTTCAAACCATGGGAAATCTTCTACACTTGACCTTTAGTACTCATTCTTTTTGCAAAATGGTCACATCATAGCAAATAATACAATGTGAAAATAAAGGTTTCATTTGGACGCTTGGCAAAAAAGTTATGATCTTGCAAATTTGGCATGATGACCTGTAATCAGAGGTCAAGAAAATTCTATGTCCAAAATCACCTATAATGTCTTCAAACTTTTTATGGCTTTCCAAGCATAATTGGCCTTTTATCCTTGAAACAAATTTGTAGAGGGCATCAAGTGTGATAATTGGTAAAAAGAACCGCCCACAAAAATTGAAAATTGAGAGGGTTATGATCTTTGGAGGCTAGGTAAATATCACTTGAATTTAGGCCAAATTTCACAAAGTCCACAAAATGATCTATAATGTTTCCAAAACTTTCATGACCTTCCAAGCATAATTGGATCTTGAATTGTAAAGAAAATTTGGAGGGGATGTCAAGAAGAATCATTTTCCCAAAGAAGCACTAAAAAATGTTGAAGTGTGGAGAAGTTTTGGTATCTTGAACTTGGGCTTGAAATGTTGACTTTTTGGTCAAACCTCCTAGGACAAACTTGCAACCTTGGACTTCTTCTTGCATTTCAAGGCACATTGATGATAATATGAACTAAAAATGATGTTCTCTTGATTGTCCTTTGATTATACTTGATATAGATTGAGGAAACTTGTTGATGAAGGCATGGAAATAAACATACGAACCTTTGAAATTTCTTGAGAAGCAAGTTATCACACTTTGAAGTATCCTTGATCAAATGAAGTTGAATAATGCTTGAGGCTCCATTATTTAAGATTAGAGCCCATTCTTTGATGAATAGCCTTTAAAATCAATGGTTGACCACACTTTGACTTGAGGAACTCAAACCCTAGATGAGAAGACAATCATTTGATGCTCTTGATTCCAAACCCTACTTTGCAAAATAAAAAAAGGGACAAGGCATATATTTTTGTATTTTGATTAGTGGTTAGTGAATTATAAAGCATGTAAATACAAAAATGAAATATACACACAAAGGTGCTTGGTGATCTCTGCAAAGGTAAACCCAAAGATAAGAGGGTTATGAGACAACCAAGTTTGTGATCTTGATGCATTGCAAATATGTAAAAGAGGTGGAATCTTAGGGGTAAAAATTATGGTATGACACGTAAATTTCTCTTGGATGTTCCCTTGCGATTTGGTTCCCGTTAATCTTTTGTTGATAAGGGTGGTGTTCATTGGTGACTTCTTTGCTTCATCATGTTGTTGATATCCCCCAAACAAGTCTTACCCATTGAGGTACTGATATTCCTCCAACAAGTGTGCTGTATTGACTTTTTGAATTTTTGTTAATAGTCTTATTGTCATTTGTTTGGTGATAGGAAATGGTCTCTTGATCATACCTTCATCCTTTTGGTGAGTATAATCATTAAAGTTGTACTATCATCCTTTTTGTGATAGCAAATATTATGTCTTGCCTTCATATTGTTGGTGATGGGAAAATACTATTATCCTTTTGATGATAGCCAATTTGTGTCATTTTATCTTACCTTCATCCTTTTGGTGTCGGCAATCTATGGATTTTGGTCTGTGTATCATCCTTTTGGTGATTACAACCTTTGAAACCATTGTCTGCTTACTATCATTCTTTTGGTCATAGCAAGTTGTGTTTCACCTTCATCCTTTTGGTGATGGTGATCATTGATTTGTTATCTTACTATCATCCTTTTGGTGATAGCGAGTTGTGTGTGTTTTCTATTATCACTTTGGTGATAGATCCGCCATTCTTTTGGTGTCGGAAATTTGTGTGTGTACTTACTATCATCCTTTTGGTGATATCAATTTATGTGTGTTTTATATCATCATTTTAGTGATAGATTCTTCATCAATTTGATGTTGGAAATCTATATGTGTACTTACTATCATCTTTTTAGTGATAGCAGTTATGTATGTTCACTATCATCCTTTTGGTGATAGATCCATCATTCTTTTGGTGTTGGAAACCTGTATGTGTACTTACTATCATCCTTTTGGTGATAGCAAGTTGTGTTTGTTCACTATCATCCTTTTGGTGATAGATCCGTCATTCTTTAGGTGTCGGAAATCTGTGTGTTCTTACTATCATCCTTTTGGTGATAGCAAGTTGTGTGTGTTCACTATCATCCTTTTGGTGATATATTTGTCATCCTTTTTGGTGTTGGAAGTCTGTGTATGCTTACTATCATCCTTTTTGTGATAGCAAGTTTTGTGTGTTAACTATCATCCTTTTGGTGATATATTCGTCATCCTTTTGGTGTCGGAGATCTTTGTGCGTACTTACTATCATCCTTTTGGTGATAATAAGTTGTGTTGTGATCCAACCGTCATCCTTTTAGTGATGTCGATCTTTGTCATTTTGATTTTACCTTCATCCTTTTGGTGATGGTGATGGTGATTGTTGAAGACGTTGAGTTAACTATCACCCTTTTGGTGATAACCAGCTTTGTTGACCTCACTGATATGATTTTGGTATCCGTAATATTCACAGTTTTGATCTTACTGTCATCCTTTTGGTGTTGGTAACTTCTGTCATTCTAATCTCATCGTCCTTATGCAAGTTATTTAGTGTCCACTCGAGGGTCGACATTGATCTGATATTCTACTTCCCAAGCATCTTTCTTCCTTTTAAGACAAATTCAAAGTCTTTCTGTATCTAATTGACTTCTACCTTGAAAGTATGAACGCTATGGTAATTCATCTTACTAGGTTTAAGCCAATTAGATAGGAGCGTCTATCATACACCAAATTTGTCCTACTTGTACAATATTACCCTCATTTGTGTTTCTGTTTACAAACCATTATTCAAAAATCCAAAAAGATATTAAGTTGCTTTCATTTTTCTTGTTGCTTAAGTCCAAGTTGTTGCAAGTTTGAACTGAGTTTCGAGAAAGGCTATCAGGTCAGGTGTGTGTGCAATATTGATTGAAGTTCAATTGGTTTTGACCTAATCTTGGTCAAACAAGAGTTTGTTTTATGATCAAGGCATCAAGATGTTGTATAATTTCAAGTGCTTCATGATTGAGGATAATCAATGACCAGTTCATTTCCAATTAGGGTTTTATGCACTAAGTCATGGTGTGTTAATTTCAAGGCATGTTCATTTAGTCCATATTGAAGATTCTGATTCATCATAATTCAAGTGGCTATGTGTTCAATATCGATTCATTTTTGGATCCATTCCTCAGGGTATGATCATTTTTTGTCATGACATTGTCAAAGAGTTTTCAAGTGCACAATTTGGTTCATGTTGATCAAGTGATGTCCAAAGCCTTTTTTCAAGAGTGATTAGGATTGTTCAACACGGAATAAAGTCTTTATTCGATTTCAAGCGAAGATTCAAGATTGATCCATTTTTTAGTCATTTCTCAATAATTGATTTAAGCATTTAGATTGTTGATTTTTGGTATAAGTTTCAAGGCATGGCGAATTAAACTCAAGGGTGCAAAAAGCATTACAAGTTACAACTCAAAGTCCACATTACCATTTTTCTACACACAAAAAAAAGTCAAAATCCCATTACCATATAAACTCATTACCATTTTTTTCCATTACCATTTTTTGTAAGCCCGTTGCTTTTTTATTTTACAACCCAAATCATAAAACTCATGATACAATCCTCCAAGACACAACCCACAAATTGCAAAAGCTAAATTCAATCAGCTTCTAACACCATACCCAGCTTCATGCCATAAACAATATCAGCCATCACCATTTTCCTACTACCAAGCAAGCAATCGAACCAAACATTCACGCTTCTTTTTCAGCAATACACACAATTCACACGCACCCAAGCAAATAATATAACCAGTTTCAACACATGAGCCAATATATCAGCTTCATGACAAGCCTTCATTCAAGGCACGTGCATAAATCACAAGTAAGAATACACCAGCTCAGAGCTATCAAGCCAAACTTCATAAACCTGCGCAACAACGATCTTACCCAAGCTATTCCAATCCTTGTACCAAGCCGACCCCATAATCTTCATGCAGCAAAATGTCATTACAAGGCTATGTAAACAAGCAAAATCCACACGACCCCACACACCAAACACGCACCTATAAACTACAAATACGCAATTGCAAAACAAAATTCCACAACGTCACAATTCCAAAACCAAGCACAGCAAAACTGCACAAATTGATTCAATTCACTCACCTCATAATAAATAAGAAACCACTCTTCATTCTTGCTCAAGCTCTAAAAGCCATTGTTACCCTGTCCAAACCTCAAATTAACCACACCTCAAAATTCTACAAAAAAAACAAATCAAACCTTCAACAGTTCTTTAACTCACCACACCCTTCAACCAATTCCAAACAAAGTCAATAACAACAACATTTGATTCACGAAATAGAGAAATAGAGAGGCAAGATTGAGAGATGAAGACAAGTTGAGACGCGAAAGAGTGAGGTGAAATAGTAGGGGCAGTTGCAAAAGAAATGTGGGGACGTATGAAGCTCGGTTGCCGTTGTTGTTTCATAGTCGTACTTTGTTCGTTCTGAACTCTTCTTGACATGGCGGCATCGTGATGAGATAGGGAGAGACTAGGTTTTTTATTTTATTATGTTCGCCCCCTTCCTTTAGTTTTTTATTTTATTATTATTCTTTGTTTTCTTTTTTTTAATCATTTTCTATGTTATTAATATTGTTATCTTTAGGATGTGATTTTGATTTTTCTGGATCCATTTAAATATTATTTCCATCTTATTTATTTCATTTTGATTTGATTTTCTTTTTTACTTTTGGTCAATGAAATCTTAAAAGTCATGGATTATAGGTTTTCAAAGTTATTTAACCTTCATCATTTCAAATATATAGATGAATGATCATTTGGATCATTCTCCACACTTTAGGATAGTAATAGATTACCTTTGATTAATCAATGGAATTTCTTGATTAAGATGATACCGTTCTCTTTTCTTTTCGTGTGACATGGCTTTAGGAGAATGATCTACATATCATTTATCTAACATATATTAACACAAACATTGTTATTGATCGGCCTCCCATAGTATGATCTTCCTCATAGATTGTGCTACAATTACTTAACATAGCGCTAAATTGGTCCCGATTTGAAAAGTGATCATCCAATCAATAACAATTAACAACTAACATCTAACTTTTACATTTCTGCTCTTTATTTTCTTGCTATTTACTTTTCGCTATTTATTTTCTTGCTTTTTATTTCATTGTCTATATATTTCATTGCTCATATTGTCATCTTCAGCTTTATTTGTTCATCTCATTAAAAAACATAAAAACATGATAAAATGATCGAAAAACCCTAAAAAAACTTTCAAGCTTGGACTATGGTTACTATCCCTAACATGATGGAGATTTGGACCTTGTACATAAACCCTAGAAGAGGAGATTTGGGATTGGACATCTCTACTTTTATTGATTTGTCTTAGTGTAGCACTCCGAAATTTGCCCTTTCGTTTTAACCGTAACTGACTTATGTTTCTCTACATTTTTCATTTCCATGTATCATAGTATTGGTTCTCGAGACACGGGATCAAGGTATTTCCATCGCTCAGCGTTTCCTTTTATTGCAAGAGTATAAACAGCGAGCGTTAGAGGCTCTGACATTTATTTTGCCTAACGATCGAGCGGTCGATTTTATTTTATTTAGCAGGTTAATTTTTAGCCCAGGAGACAATACACAGGGTATCTCAGGCATTCTCACAATTACCATATTCAAGAGCAGGTTTCAGAGGCATAACAGGGTTCAAAACAAGTGGCAACGGGCAATTGTACAGGATTCCCTCCATTTGGCGCCAAAAGTGGCAAATTTTCAATAGGGTAACCGGTTACCCTATATAGAGTAACCGGTTACTTCAAGCGTAGTTTGCCAAAATATTTGAGTTTTCAACATGTGCAATTTCCCAATCATTCTCAACCATTGATTTCACTTGATCATATTTGAAAGGATCTAGAATTGCTCAATTTTCACTATTTCCCTTCATATTTCAAACACTTCATTCCTAATTCCACTACTAATTTCCATTCCAAATGTTAATCCTCACTCCAAACCATATTTTGATTCCAAACCTAGAGCTTATTTAAGTGAATTTTCTCCAAACCTCACAAAAATAAACCTTCATTTTCATATTTCACTTTCATTCTTGAGAATTTGCTCTCAATTTTCTCTCCACTTTTTCACTCCCAAAACCTCCATTAGAGCTCTCTCACTTGAGGTATTTGATTCTTCATTAGAATAATTGAATTCTAGAGTTAAACCTCTATCATTCATCTCCATTATCTTCATTTTACCATTCCATTTTCTTTTGGTTTTGGATCTGAATTTGGAAGCTAGATTGTAAGTGCTTTTTGTGGATTATTTTGCTTGATCTTGCTTGTTCTTCATTTCTACCATAAGGAAATTCTTGGATCTTGAAGAACCTCTAGGTTGATTGCTTGGATCTGCTAATTTCAAGTGAATAAACACCCACTAAAGCAAATCTCCGATTTGAAAGTTGGCAATTCTAGATCTAATTATGTTTTGAACTTATTTGGATAATCACAATGTAGATCCATGGTTTTTGCTGCTTTTTGATCCATCTTGATGATTTGGATCTTGTTGATTTGTGATTTTCAATGCTTGATTGTGCTTACATGATGTTTGATCACCATTTCTTGATGTTAATTTCATGTTTGATTGAGTAACTGGTTACCACTGAGCCAGAATGTGATTTTCTTGCATTTTGTTGTTTGTTTGATATCCTTTCCACATGTAAACTTCATGGATTGATATGATGCATTGATGTGGATTATTTTTGACATGTTTCATCATTCTTGAATGTTTGATCTCGATTCTTTGACGCACGACTTTTGGTTTCCGCTTGAATGTATAACATGTTAATGTGCTTGGTTGACGAGTGATAATTTGTTTTGCTTGCTTGTGGCATGATTAATTGATGATCATTAATGGTTGTGTTGCTGAATATTGTGATGCATGATTGTATTTGTTTCCGATTCCGATTTGATGTGTATTCGTTTGATCGTTTGATCATCCATGTTTGAAATGCATACTTGATCTTGTCACTTCTTGTTGATGTAATGTCGTTGATCATTTATAATTGTTTGTCAAAGCATGTTCATACTTGTGTGATGTAAATCCATGATTGTTGTTTGCATTTGATTAATTGCATTCAAACATGCTTGCTTGCTCCATACTTTCCACAGTTGTTCATGCTTTAAACTTGCATGTTGTCTTTGCGTCACTTGCTTGTTGCCTGGCTTTTTACACCTGTTTTTTATGCTGAAACATGTGTTGTCATATGTTGTCTTGCTTGTGTGCTGGGTTTTATTGTTGTCTTGCTTGTGTGCTGGTTTTATTGCTGTCTTGTGCAGGAGGTGTTGTTGTAGCTGCTATTTTTACCTTGTTTTCTTGCTTTTTGCCTTGTCTTTGCATGCTCCCTTAGGATTCTTATTCCAATTTAATTTCCGATTGAATTTGGAGTAAGATAGACTTTAGGAGTTTAATCCATGCATTATAACAAGTAGGCTAGTCCCTTTTAACCTCAACTTCAGGTCCATCTTTTGCATGCCAACATTAGGATAGAATCTCCTTTCGCATCCCAACTTTAGGACCACTTTGCATGACAACGTTAGGGCCGAGTTTTTCCTTAGACCTTATGTGCGTCTCTATTCTCCTCTCAAAACCATTCTAACTCATCTAATAAATACGATAAACGTTGTATGCTATGAGCCTTAAGCACGTGGGAAATGATGAGTGGGGGGTTTCTCCTCACTTATCTAGAGTGTTTAGTGTATGCCCTTTGGGCGATATGCGACGCATTCGCTCCTATGTCATAGTCTTTAGTACAACGTGAGTCACAAAGCAAACTAAATTCACTTCACTAAAACTCACAAATAAAAGTCAAATCTTTTATCCTTCGGGATCGTTGTTTCAACTTCATTTTCAGAAAAGAGTGCGTTACTTTTTCGTTCTATCGCAAACAGGCATCGACCCTAACTACTGGAATGGGAACTTAGCGTCACTCATAAAAAACACTTAACCAACTTATGGTTTCATTGACCCAAACTCAGTTTGCTCTGATTTCTCATACCAGATGAGGATACGTAGGCACAAGACGATGATGTCTTGGCGAACAACCTTCCCCCCATCACCCGTAGTTTTCCGAACTACATTGACTCTGACTTTCCCATTGCACGAGAGAATACGTAGGCGTAGGGCGGCGATGTCCTATCGAGACTCTTTCTTTTTTTTGTTCTCGTTTCCGTTTAGAAGTAGGTTATAGATAAACACACCCTTTGATTAGATAACAAGCGTGGATCCCGTTAAGTACAACGGACGTGAGGGGTGTTAATACCTTCCCCTTGCGTAACTGACTCCCGAACCCAATATTTGGTTGCGATGACCTTGTCTTTTCCCTTTCTTTAGGTTTTCTTCGATTGTTTCCTTTCCCTATCTTTGAGATAAATAACGTCCGGTGGTAACTCTTCTGTTTTTCCGTCGGGTGTTTTTCGCAGTTGAGACAGCTGGCGATTCTGTTGGGGATTAGGTTTCCATATGCGAGTCAATCCTAGAGCTTGTCTGTTGTGTGGCTTTGGGTGTTTAACTTTGTGCATTTATTTGCTTTATGTACATTATCTGTTCTATACTATTGCATTTGCATTTTATTGTTATGAAATTATGTTGTTATTGATGTGTCATTGGGTGGGTTGTTCCATTGAGAGATAAGCCCAATACCCAGGCTTGAGTACACACCTAGTATTAGTATGGAGAGTGGTGCGGGCTTGCATGTTTGGCATGCAAGAGCCCTCATGAAATTCGCGTCCAGACGAGGTTTTCTTTAGAGACATCCTATCTTGTGCATTTAGGGCAGTTGAGGGGGTGTTGAATTAGAAATCTAACGACTCTAGAGACCGTTCATTGGGAAGTCAGTTGAGTCCTTCTCGATTGACCTTGATGACAAACCAGAAATGGTGAACGTATCATTAGTTTTCAACCCGAGAGTTCGTGATATTGAGGACCTGCATAAGATGCCGTGTCGTCCAAGACTAGAACCCACATGTGAGAGGGGTGGGTTTTGTAGGAAACTTTGACCTTCAACCAACCTGGTCTTCTAGTTTTCTTGTCAAGAGCAGACTGTTGATCTTGAGTACTCTGGTTTTCTATCATCTTAGTATTCTGGTTTTCTGGGATTTCTTATCAGAG